ACTGGAGCAAGCGAACACAACGTTAAGTATATATGTTTTGGAAGTTGAAGTTATCAAATTTATCTGATCTGAAGAAAAAGCAGACTTATATGAAATAGCTTTCATAATGAAAGCACTACACAAAAAGAACAAGAGTATAAAATATGATTTGTCCATAACCCCTTGACTTGGTTCTTATAAGTATTTATAATTGATCATATATAATGCTGAAGAACCTCAAAAACAACAGCCAGAGTGAATTACTAGACATATGTCAAATTAGAGTAAAGTACTTGATTTTTCATCATATAAGGATACATTAAGGCAGAATTTATCACACCGTTCTTGTATACCTGATTTGAAATACAAAATTTCACTAAGACCATCACATTTGTTTATTATAACTAATATATTTTAAAAGTTGTACGCACTGTATTTAACTGTTCTAGAATCATATGATAATGATAAAACTCTTTCAGCATGGGCTCGGACCGACTTCGTAACCATTTTGTGCTTGTTATAGTTTCCATGCTATAACTTTCAGTAAGCAAATGTTAATGAAATTTGGTACATTATCAGTAAACATTACAATGCTTTCAAACACTAAATATCAAATTTATTTCTTTAGTCTTAAGGTTTGTAAAGCAATGTTTTTCTCATGCCTTTTTTTTTCACATTTTGCCTATCTAACATGCAAAGTAATTTTCATTTTAAGATTAAAAATACTTTTAGGCATCAGAAATTTTTCAAATTACATATGCAAAATCTTTATAATGTCCAGATAGTTATCAAGTGTTTGTTAAGGAAAACTTTATATTTCATCTGTTATTTTCAGTAATTAATCTCTGTACGGGTTAAGTAGATTTGACCACCATATATATATATATATTTATTTATTTATTATTTTTATTATATTGACCTTTCAGCCATGCCTGGCTAACAATACCAAAGTTACAATGATGCAGCTCACGTGCACTCATGTTACTGTATCCAATAATATAAAACTGACCTTTAGTCTTTACAAATAGCAATAATCTATATACATATATAATGTATAATAATTGAAATGTGACTGTATTTTACAAAATACTAGTCGACTAAAACACAGCCAAGACAAGTTACTTTTGAAATAAGTTCTTAAAGTTATTTTTCCTAAAACATAGAACAGTAAATAAAGAAGTAAAGCAAACAATTATCTCTTCTAGTTACAACCTTTGTACTCGGTTGCTGCTTGACGTAGATTGCTAAGCAATACCATATAATTCTACTATAATTTATCAATTATCAACTAAGCTTTATTTGGGTCTAAAAATATGAAATTTCGAGCAGACTAAAGACACAACCTACCTCATTGAAATCTTGGTTTAAAGAAAGAAATGGCGGGAGAAACGTTAGAAACGCTGAGAACACTACTAGGGGGACATTCTGAGCTTCCTATTGGTTATTCATGTCATATATAGAAGTAAGTGTATATAACGGAGCGTTTCCAAAAATGGAAAGAAGTGGTCAGGGTGCCACTGTGTTTGATTTATTACGTGAGCAATATCTTAGTAAATAGAAAATATAAGACCTTCTTATTTTATATTTTAGCTTATCAATTTGAGTTTCTAATTCATATGAAACTACAGACTTAGTATTTTGACTTCACAAACATCTAATTTGAATCAGCACTGCATTCAATATTACCATATAAC